CTTGAGCTCTCTAAGAATGTGCCCAACTCACTCTCCTTGACCTTGCTTTCAGATGTAGTCTCTTCTTGGCATGTTCTTGTTATGTACTGGAGGCCAAGCATTTGGAGCTGTCTGATCTTGAATTTTCTGTCTTGGAAGCTGAAGTTTTGGAAATCCATTTATAGGTTTCCATTATAGTAACACAAACTACTGTATATTTTCCCGTTTGGTATTGTTGGGGATGGAACCTAGGGTCTTGGGCATGCTAAGTAAACATTCTACAACTGAACTTCATCCTCCACAACAAAACTAATATAGAAAAAGGGAAAACTGGTACTAGGAACGGAGCTCTTTACAAACGCGGAAGCAGCTTTGGGACTGCATCACAGAACTCAGAAGAGTGTGGAGACTGCAACCAGTATTACAGACATTAAGCACCCATCAAGAGACAGGTAGACCGGACCCCAAGCAAAGAACGTGGAGGGCTGCGGGATGTGGCTCAGCCACTACGGAACGGAACGTACCCAGCACTGGATACACTGGGCTTCATAGCATCGGCCTGTACTCCGGAAACTCAGCAAAAAGTAGGATTAGGAATTTGTCCTCAGAGATACGTGTCTGAGGCTGACTGGGGCCTCTCTTTCTCTCTCTTATTCCTTGCTTGCCTCCCTTTCTCTCTCCCTCCCTTTCTCCCCACCCCCTTCCTTCCTTTAAAGGAATTTTACTGGAAATCAGATTAAGTCCTACTGCAGTTACTCCAAAGCCAAGAGCTTCACTGTGTCCTTGCCTCAAGATTTTGGGTAAACTTAGTTTATTTAACTAAAGACATGTCTTTTGTTTGTTTTGCTTTTTCCTGGCTGTCCTGGAACTTGTTCTGTAGACAAGGCTAGCCCCAAACTCAAAGAGATCCGCTTGCACCTGCCTCCCTAGTGCTGGGATAAAAGGTGTGCCCCACTATACTGACTAGAAGATATTTTAAAACAAGAAAGTCGGCCGGGCGTTGGTGGTGCACGCCTTTAATCCCAGCACCTGGGAGGCAGAGGCAGGCGGATCTCTGTGATTTTGAGGCCAGCCTGGTCTATAGAGCGAGTTCCAGGACAGCCTACAAAACAATACAGAGAAACCCTGTCTCGAAAAACCGAAAACAAAACAAAACAAAACCAGGCTGAAGCATGGACATTGCAGGTCATTTTTATACTCAGAATCACCGTGACAGTAAGGAGCAAAAGGAAGCAGAACAAAGATCCGGAAAAACCAAAGGTTTGCCCAAGCAGCAGTAGAACAAAAACAAACCAAAACCAAAACACATCTAAAGGCCTAAGGATTGTTAAAGGAACACTAATCTTCAGAACTGGAAAAGGACTTAGGGGAATCTCAGAAATCTTTTTTTACAGTCCTTATTTTTATTTGTGTATGTGTCTCAATGTGTGAGTATATGCCGTGTGTGTGTGTGTGTGTGTGCGTGCGTGTGTGCGCGCGTGCTCGCACCCACGGAGGTCAGACTTATTAGACCTGGGGTTACAGGTGATCATGAGCTGTCTTTTGTGGGTTCAGGGGCCCGAACTTGGGTCCTCTGGAGAGTTCCAAGTGCTTTTAGCGGCTGAGCCTCCAGCTTGCTATGTCAGAATTCTCTGAGGCTGTTTCTCCTACCACAGGGTCAGGAATATTCAAAGGCAGAAGTATTTCCGGGACCATCAGAGTGCTTGTCTACGGATGTCCAGACACAGCACCATCCTGGGATTTAACCCGGAAGCAAGCTTACCACAAAGAAAAGCTCAAGGTCTGATCTCCTTACTGGTAAATTTCTACCATGTTCAAAGATATAAAAATCTTCAAGAAAACATTAGAAAATTGATTCCAACAGCGTATACACATCATGAACTGGCTGCGTTTATCCTAGGACCAAAAGATTTGTTCAACATATGAAAGCCAATGTCATATAGATCATAGAAAAAGAGAGGAAGAACAAAAAACAGAACACTCCAACAACCTTGTAGTCATCAACAGAAGCAGAAAAATCATATTAAAAAATTAACTCTTGCATGAAAAAAAATGCTCAACAATATAGGATTTATAAGGGAACTTCCTCAAATAAAAGGTATATATCCTAAAAGCAAAACAACACTCAGAGCTAACATTGTAATGTTGGAAGACTCAAAGCTTGTAGGCCAAATGCCAGGACATTTTCTTATAGTTATGGCTGTATTACAGTTCTAGCTAGAACAATTAGCAGAGACAATGAAGTAACCCATTCATACTGGAGGAGCGTCTGTGTACACAGGTGTGCGTAAGTCAGGCGTGTGGGCACATACACAGGTGTGCGTGTTTGCTTTGGCTGGTGTTCTTAAGGAACCAGCCACTTTACGTAGAGTATTTGATTATTATTACCTATGGGTATGGATGTTCCGCCTGCATGTGTATCTGTGCACCACTGTGCTGCCTGTGGCAGCCAGAAGAGGGCTGACATATGCTCCCCTGGAACTGGAGCTACGGTGGGCTGTGAGCTGCCACGTGGGGGCTGGGAACTGAACCCAGGTCCTCCGGAAGAGCAGCCAGTGCTCCTAACTGCTGAGCCGTCTCTCCAGCCTCCAGCTTTATAATAGTAAGTAATAACAACTACTTTGTGTATGGTGTGCATGAGACGGCACACACGCATGCTACGACATGAGTAGGGACGTCAATGGCAGCTCTGTGACGCCATGGAGATGGAGGGCAGAGGTCATGGGATCCTGAAAGCCCACTGCTCTCGGAGTGCTTTGATACTTCAGTCTCAACGGGACTTACATATTGCTTTTCTGTGCATCTCCTGATCTCAGCAGACACAGGCCTGTCTGGTTAGTTTCCCCATTGGATAGTCTGCCACGGACCACCCCAGCTGGGTACGGGGGGTCCCTGGGGTGAGGGTTTCCAAGACTAGGTGGGTAAGGATTCGGCAGTGACAAACAGAAACACACAGAGGCAGTTTGAATCTGAGTGTATTTTATAGTTCTCAAGCAAGGCTTTTTATAATGAGAAGAAATAACATTTCAGGGGTTGTGTTCAGGGAAGCAGACAAATGACATCACCATTACTCGGCATTGTAACACACAGCTTTTCCAAGACTAATAAAATGATAAATCAAAAAGTCATTCAAGGCTAACCGTAGCTAACCACCTATTTCTAAGATCAGGCTAATAAATTTTTATGGTTATTGTTTGACATCTGTTACCTAGTCACAATTGTTTGATATATATCTGTTGCCTAGTTCTTGTGAGTCTTTGAAATAGAGCAATTTTAACTTTTTTTCTTATCAAAAAGCTTTCTTTACCAAACATTAAAACCATTCTCAATCACACATGTACAGCCATATGAAATTTTATTGTTGGGAAAGTTTTCATTAATACTATTACTATTTACTTATATGAATGACGTGAATGATTCAAAAAGCACTGGTTTTCCCGGAGATGAGGTCATGGTCAGTGACCATGTCTCAGGGAACAGTTTCTCATTTACATCTTTTGTTTAAAATGTCAGCATAGGCTTTCAGGAACATTTCATTAATATCAGAAAAGAAGAGAAGAACAGAGATTGCCATGAGAACTACGGCTCAGTATTTTTCACCGGCTGAGAGTTCCACAACTGTTTCCAGGAGACCTTCCTTCTTTTGAAGTTACCGTCTCAGTCTGACAGAATCTACTGGATTTGGTGTGGCAATAGTCCGTCAGCTGCACCTAGGTCATCTGGTCTTCAGTATAACGGATTTTACTGCCTGGTCAGTCACAGAATTATCCTGACTGCTCTCTTTATGGTATCTTGGATTCAGTACTCTGTAATATAAAACCTGACTCCTATAGCCCTTGTTTTTTATTATTAATCTTATTTGCACTGTGACTGGACAGTATACTTTATGTGACTTCTATTTCTAAAAAGTAAGTGTGCTGGCTAGTTTTACGCCAACTTGTCACAAGCTAGAGTCATGTGAGAGGGACCCTCAGTTGAGAAAATGCCTCCATAACATCCATCTGTAGGCAAGACGGTAGGGTATTTCCTTAGTGATTGATGGGGAGGACCCAGTCCATCATGGGTGGGGCCACCCTTGGACTGGTGGCCCTGGGCTCTACAAGAAAGCAGGCTGAGCAAGCCATGGGAAAAACCAATATGCCACACTCTCCCATGGCTTCTGCATCAGCTCCTGCCTCCATATCCCTGTCCTGATTGAGTTCCTGTCCTGACGTCCTCCAACGATGAACAGAGATGTGGGAGTGTAAGGCGAATAAACCCTTTCTTCCCTGATTTGCTTTTGGTCATGGTGTTTTAACACAGCAATAGCAACCACAAATAGGACAGTAAGAGTATGAAGGGTGTGCTTGTAATTTTACCACTTAGGAAACTGAGGCAGGAGGATACTGAGGAGTTTGAGGTAAGCCTTGGCTAAACAGTAAGATTCTGTTGCAAGAAAAAAGAAAACAACACAAAACAAAACAAAAAGAAAGCCCCCCAAATAAAAAACAAAAAACAACAAACAAAAACCCAAACCAACTAACCAACCAAACACAGAGACACAGACGTAGACACACAGACACACCAGCTGATGGCACATGCTCTTAATCTCAGCACTCTGGAGGTAGACACAACAGGATCTCTGAATTTGAGATTAGTCTGTTGGTTTACAGAGGGAGTTAAAGAACAGTGAGTTCTTGGAACAAAGAAACACTGTCTCAGAAAACCAACCAACCAAATAAAAAAGCCACCAACCAACCAACCAACCAACCAAAAAAACAAAAACCCACCAAAACCAAACCAAACCAAAAACAAAGGGGGTTGGGTATATTTCATGCACAAAATATACATACCTCCTTGGTGAATGCATTATATAAGCTTAGGAAGGTGTATCAATTATGGTTGGATGGGGCTGTCAGTTTGAGCCAGCTGGCTACAATGCAGTCCTGTTGTTATCTTACTGAGTTTATCTGTCTACACTATCCCTATCCATTTATCCTTATACAGTGCCTACTGAATAACACATCAAAAAGCGGAAAAGCTGAATGATACATATAATTTTATTTGAGATATATATACATACATACATATATATATATGGTTAGTTAATAAATGTCAAACATTAGTACATAACAGCTGGCCATAGTAAAGTTGCGATTATACACTGATATTAGTTGCTATTTTCCTTTTGGAATTTCCTATGTACATAAAAGCTTAAATACTTCAAGGACAGTCAAATCTAATACTTACATGATTATCTGATGCCCTGTTTCTTATTGCCTCTGGGTACCCAGTATGCACATGGTATACATATGTACAAGCAGCCAAAAATACTCATACACATAAAATAGAAATAAGTCATTCCTTTAGAAGAAAAACACATGTAAATCAGTAATCTACTTTCATATTTTATATAACACACACACACACACACATATATATATATATATATAAAACCTTATATACATAATTCTACATACTTGTAAACTATTTCCAGAGAAAATACCTACAATCCATTTGTCTAGATAGGTTTAAAAAAAGGTTTATATTCCTCAAATGGTGGAAATGTACGTGGATGATGATGAAGTCTAAGGTAGTTGTTACATTAGAGATTTTAACTTTGCTCCATGCCGGCCATGAGCGACAGTGCTAGAGATTCCACTGGGGGAAGGAAAAAAAAAAAAGGTTAACATTTTTTTCCAAATTTGTTTAGATGTTTAAATAAGGCTTCAGTGAATTCAAAACTTTAAATATCTGGTATATTTTTAATTAAAAATCACCACTTGTTAATATAAATGGAAAAAGTTGATGACATTTCTGTTCTATGCGGCATAGACCCCGGGCTAGCTCAGGCCATATCCTAATCTGGAATGGTATCTGCTTCCATTGTCCTGGCCATGTAACCACGGACAAACGTACCAATGTTACTGCTTACAACAGGCAGATCGCAGTTCACATCTGCTGCTTAGGAAGCGTACTGCGTGCGGTCACAGTATGCACAATTGGAGCAGAGATTAATACTATATATAGTCTTTACTTAAAGAGGGCGTAGACACAGATACCACTTAGTCTGTCTGCACAGACTAAAAACTCCTCAACGATTCCCTTCACATATCTCTTATCTCCCTCACACCCTATATTCTGAACTGCAAAACAATCCATATTTCTTTGCAATAAGAGGTAGTCTTGGAAGTTTTGAAATTGCTAAAGTTTGTATCTTACAAAGGATTCACATGAGAGTCAAGAGTAAAAACACTGACTCTCCAAGCTCCTACAATTCCGTTTTAGGAATCCACTGTAATAAAAGGCATACAAATAAGCAAGGCCTTCACTCTGTCTTAGGGACAGCCATCTGATATTTACCCACGCCATTGTAATTCTGCAATGCCAACTCAAATCATGGCTAAGTACTCTGAGTTTTGAAATGGGAAACTGTCAGACTCTCCATGTGGCTAGTAACGAACATTGACACACACATTTAGCTACAATAAAATATGAAAGCATTGACAATGTAAGCTGATGGATGTACTCACAATGGGGAAAAGATCCTCTACAGACAGCTTTATTTAAAATGGTCACGAGAAACATGTGGCAGTTTTTAAAATCAGATTCCATCTTCTCTATAGATTCCATCCTAAGGAAGAAATTATCATTTAAGTAATTTGTAGAATCCTTTAAGGCTGAAGATAATAAAATATGAAACAATCATATTTTACATTAGTTTGCTTTTTTTTTCATAGACAGGGTGTCATATTGGCTAGGATTGACAGGAACTTAAAATCTTAATGCTGTAGCTCCAAAGTTTCTTTAAGATGAAAAGTCTTGAGCGGCTGGTGATGCAGCGCAGGGTAGTTGCTTGCCAAACATGTACGACGCCCTGGGCTCCATCCCAAGCTCCATCCCAAGCACCACGTAAGAAGATAGCAGGACTAATAGTGTAACTCAGCGGTAAACCACTTACACAGCGTATGAAGGTCCTGAGTTCATCCCCTAGCATAGAAACAAAGCTAAACCGGAGATGTTCCTGCTAGACTGGAAGAAAGCTCCTGGGCCTTTCCCTGTGTAATGATTTTCAGTCTTTTGTCTTTCTATATTACACGAGTGAAGACAGTCTGTAACGCACACCATCTTTTAGAGCTCACCAGCATAGAGATGTGGGCAGTACCCCAGCATGATGCCCGTGAGTCACTTCAAAACGCTTTAGCAAGTGTGAGGGCGTGGGGATCCGACCACAGTGGCCATCCTCAGAAAATGTTGAGTCACATGGGTCGGTTACGCGGTTCTTTATACTTACCCGTATGTGCGGAGGTGTCTACGGTAAAAACTGAGCCTCACCATCTGAGAATGGTCGCTTATTTTAATTAAAAAACCTCAGATTTTGTTTTAAACTGGTTTTGCTCTTATAAGAAAACAGACTTAGCTTATGCTATCTAGTTTAACTAAATAAATTCTACCACTGGTAGCACATAGGATTCAACTTCAGGCCCTGCGCCTGGCAGGGAAGTCAATGAACTATACTTCCACCCTTCGCATTAAAAACTGCAGTTCTGCCAAGCTTTAATCCCAGCACTCGGGAGGCAGAGGCAGGTGGATCTCTGTGAGTTCGAGGCCGGGCTGGACCGACAGCCTCCAAAACAATACAGAGAAACCCTGTCTAATAAAACCAAAAAAAAAAAAAAAAAAAAAAAACTGCATCCAAGACTGGGAGCGGAAAGACTTCAAACGAAGCTTGTTAGAGGAGAAGCTGGAACGGTCATGATATGGTTATCACACAGCACATACTTACTGCCACGCTCCCAGGCCTGCCTGCCAACCTTCGGCAAACATGAGCGCCAAGTTCAACACTTTCATGATGGCTTCCTTCACGAAGCTGACCTGAAGATCAGGGGTTGAGACAAAAAATGGGCTTTGTAACTGTGTCTGGACAATGGCACCAATATTTCCTCCTAATTACCTCCCAGAAAAAGCACATCATTATAACGACTGTCTTTTATGTATAAGGAAGACCACACGAGGTATCACTATGCGTCTCAGGACAGTGAGCTTTCCTTCCTGAATGCCGTTTATATACATCAGTGGACCGGAGACACAAGTCCCAGCGGTTGTTAAGCTATTCAGTTCTACATATTCATAATGAACTGGTGCACTTTCATGCCTAACTGCAGACTTAAGTTTCCAGTTCCGTTTAGTTATGCTTTTCTTAAATGTAACTGATGATAGTGGGACACATATATGTAACCCCATTTAACCTTGTCTTTCCTACGAGAAGACTGTGCGGGACAGCAGTTGTAGAATTCAAAACCCCACGGCAGAAAGCCATCCCCACTGGCTGAGATGTAGTCTTACACACCCCACGGCAGAAGGCCATCCCCACTGGCTGAGATGTAGTCTTACACACCTTTTCTCTCAGCAGACATCGGTCATGGATGGTTGACAAGTATCTGTAGTGGATTTTAATCAACTGATCTAAATCCTTGGCTTCTTCAACTTGATGCTGAAACTCCAACCCTGTACTGTGAAGAATCTTAAATGAGAAAGACAAGAAGCTTAGTGAGCACTCATCCACTTAGCCAGACTGCATGGCTGGCAAGCCCTGGGAGTCTCTTGTCCCTGCCTGTCCCCCTCCCCTTCCCTAGTCGGATAACCACACCTGGAGTTTCCCCCCTCACACCCACCAAGACAGGGTTTCTCTGTATAGTTCTGGGACTCACCCTGTAGATCAGGCCAGCCTCAAACACAGAGATCTGCCTGCCTCTGTCTCCCGAATGGTAGTGTTAAAGGTGTGTACCACCCCTGCCAGACCACACCTGGATTTTTATGTGGGCACTGGGGATCCAAACTCAGCCACCGATGCTGCTTTTTTGAAAGGCACTTTACCAACTGAGCTACCTCCCCTGCCTGCCTGCCTGCCTGTTCTCTCTCTCTCTCAGTACGAGAGGAAGAAGAAAGACGTGAGAGCCAAGTGATCAGAGATAGCAAAGCAGCGTCTTACAGCCACGACGGGGCCGCTGCACTCAGGAAGCACACAGAGGCTGTGGTGCCCACATATAATCAAGCACTCAACCGTCCAGCAGCGTGGGAAGGGAGCCATAAGCTCCCACCCGTAACGGAGCAGCTATGGACAGCTGATGGCTTTTGGGGGAGGGAGTCCGCTTCTTTAGGAGTAGGGCTCCTAGAAGGTCAATCACACTCCCATGAATGGTGACTCCACTCAGGAGTATACGGACAGCACAGACTGGAGTTCATGGGCTCGGCAAGAATAAGTAAGACAAGAAGTTGTGTGTAGGGAAGTAGATATGGGAGGAGTTAAGGGGACTGACTGAGGTAAGTATGACCAAAATACGTTTTATGAAATTCTCAAAGAATAAAAATATTTATTTACAAACATATTACCTCTCACTGTCATGTTATTTTATGGTGAAAGTATGTACATCTTTTTTTTTTCACAATCTGTTTCATGGCTCTTCTGTAGTTTTAAATGTATGCATGATCAGTGTTCTCTGAACTGCTACCGATGTAAGAAAGAACTGAGGAGACAGATAAATACCAACCCTGGTCATGATGTAGTTGTGTAAGCTATTCACAAAGTGCATGAGCTTCACTCGCAAGAGAAACATGCGATGAATCTGCTGTCTTAACGATTCTTTGGGCGGTCCAAACTGGGAGAGTGTGTCCTGTTCACGAAGAGCGTCTTCTTTTCCTTGGGGTCTTTCGGCAGCATTAGCCAGCTCTATAAAACATGGGGAGGAAGAAACGGGCAGAAATGGAATTATGTAAGAGCCACTGTACCCTGACTCAAGGAGACGAGGCATGTGGCATCAGCAGGACTGGGAACCTACAGGGCAGATTTGTGCCTCAGGAAGGTAAAACGCCCAGTTTCACGAGGCTGGAGCCGGGGCTCAGCTGGCAGAGAGCTTGCCTAGCATGCCTGAGGCCCCGAGTTCACTTGCCAGCACTGAACAGACCAGTCACGACGACACACACCTGTTAATCCCAGCACTGGGCGGTCACAGGGAGGACAGATGATAATGACCACTTGTTAGCACTGTTGAGATGTAAAATCCCTGTCAGACCCTCAGTAAGCGTTTTGGATGTCAATTCCTAACGAGTTACTGCACTTAAGATTAACCCTATGAGTTCCAATACGCTATTATTTCTGTGTCAAACGAGTGACATCTGGTTTTGTGTGTGTATGCACCACACGCTGCAGAGGCCGGAGGCGGGGGTTGGGGGGGTGGGAGGGGAGGGGTCCTTTGGGAGAGCAGCAAGCGCTCTTCATGGCCTCACGGCCGAGCTGCCCTCCAGCCCCTAACTTCACGCTTGTAGTAGGGGCTCTGTAAAACTGCCGCCATACTCCTGTGCCAGCTTGGTATTTGTTTATATATAAAAATAATGAAAACCTATACAGAATTTTCCAGGACCAAAAATCAAATTAGAGTTCATCTTCTGAAATCAAATCTTACCACCAAACAGTAGAACATCCAGGCTGTACTTGGCCCACTTTATTTGCAATAGGAGAAGAAACACCTGATTATAAATTTTTTGACATTCTACACTTATAACAATGTCCACAGGCCACGGGACCTATGAAAACAAAAATATAATTTTACATACACACCCTAGTTTTAATAAAAAAAAAACAACTTTTATAAAAAAACTGATTAGTGCTTACCTTGTAGCTCAGGGTAAGACCATCTAAGATATGAACGGGTAGTTTCTTCTTAGTGGTGTCAACATTTTCAAAAGATATAGATAAACTAAATGAAGAAGTTTCAGTTTTAGTTTGTGATAATACTATGCTCATGTAAAAACGTTCTAACGTTTTTCATGGACTCATGGGCAGAGAGTATCCCTCAGTGGTACAACACCTGGATACTGTGAGGTCCCGACAATAGCACCACACAATCCATCCCCCTAACATTCCATCCAATAGAAATATGCGGATCAACTTATATTTCCCAGCATATGCCTCAGAACTGGAACATATGCCCTGACTTCTAGAGACAGCGTCTCATTATAAAGACCAAGTTTGCCTCAAATGTACGGCAATCCTCCTGCCTCAGCCTCCTTAATGTTAGAATTACAGATATGAGCTACTACAACCAGCAATTTTGTTTTTTTGAGACAAAGTCCTGGTATGTACATGACCTTGAGCTCAAGGTGACCTCCCTGCCCAAGCCTCCCAAATTCTCGTGCCACCATGTCTGGTTTCTGAGATAGTCTCTGACTGTATGTATCTACGGTAGGCTGCCTTCAAACGTGAGATCCCATGGCTCTACCTTTATAGTGTCGTGACTGTTAAGTGTATGCGTCCCAATACCCAAGTAGTTTTAAAACAATGGGTTTTGTTATTAGAAAAAATACTGACAATGTTAGTTAGTGAGAGTTAAAAACAAAGTGTGAGAATCAGCTAGGAGCTCAATTCTGGTCAAAGTCAGGCTAAAAAGACTGAGCCTTAAGTTCAGGTATAGGGGGCTGGAGAGATGGCTCAGAGGTTAAGAGCACTGACTGCTCTTCCAGAGGTCATGAGTTCAATTCCCAGCAACCACATGGTGGCTCACAACCATCTGTAATGAGATCTAGTGCCCTCTTCTGATGTGTACATGGAAGCAGGGTGTTGTATTCATAATAAATAAATTAAAAAAAAAAGTTCAGGTATAGGAAAAGGTCTAGAAGAACTGCTCCTCGGTAATCTCCACAGACTATAGTGGGGTCTGCCCTTGGTAATCTCCATAGACTACACAGTGGGTCTGCCCCTTGGTAATCTCCATAGACTGCTGGTCTGCTTTTGCTGCAGGTGCTATGTACTGCTCTATCTATGCACTCCTGGATGGGGTTGACATGAATTTCCTGGGAAAGCAAGCAACACAGAACAGAGAAATACCCATGTGCCAGGCACTATTCAAGGAAGTGTCCTTTTCTCGTGTGATTTACAGGTCCTGTTAGTGAGCTCTCTCGTCACTGAGACACTAGAAAGATGCTAACTGGATGCACATTACAGAGGATCTAAAACAAGGAATCCGGGAAGGAAGAGGCAAAGAAATGTGTGAATAATATGAACTTGCCCACTTATCCCACGGCACAGGGTCTTGATGGAACTATTTAGTTTCTCACAGTGTGTTACATCAACGCTCACTGAAGTGCTTACTACGCAGATGATGGAATCTGAATCTCCTGCCTTTAGTGCAGGTCAGGCCAGGATGGGGAGAGGACGGGACGGAAGAAGGAAGAGCAGCTCTTGGGGAAGTCAGAGCATTTGCAGACACCTGCAACGTGAAACACAGCAGAAGCGAGAGTGTGGTGTCTAAGTGGATAAGACAGGAGGTGAGGCCCAGCCCGAGGGTGGAAAGCTTCTTCTGCCTGGTGTGAGATGTGAGGAATGACAACGATTCTGAGCATCAAGTCCCTTGTGGTGGAGGAGAGCAAGGCCAAGCCATTCAGGAGAACTTGGCCTTCCAGTGAGGCTGTGGATGTCCTCAAGGAGGCAGGACAGGTAGAGACTGGCAATAGTAATGGCCAGGACGTCAACCAGAAACACCACAGAAGCCGCCATCCCCAGCAAGCCGGCCGCTCTCCACCTGCTCAACTCTCACTTAGCATCCCTACCGTTGACCTATCAGCTGCCAATTCCATTCACCCCTCCCCTCTTCCTTTGTGTGGGGTGGGAGGGGTATATATGTATCCCGTGTCACTGTGTTTGTGTGCATCTGTGTGTACAGGCCAGAGTTTATCACTTTTTACTCCACTGAGGCAGGCTCTCACGGAACCTGAAACTTGAGAGCCGGCCTGCCCTAAAGATTCTCTCCCTATTCCTGATACCTCCCAAGGGCCGGGATTACAGTTGAACCATTATGCTCATATGGTTATTTTATGTGGGTGCTGGGGTTCAAACTCTGGTCCTCAGCCTGGTGTGGCGAGTCCTTTACCCACTGAACTATCCTCTTAGCCCTTTGTTTGTGTTTTGTCTGGAGAAAAGGTAACCTCAAATTCCCAGGCTTAAATTATCTCCGACCTCAAGTACCTGGTATCACAGAAATATGCCACCATATCTCAGCTTTGATTTTCTCTTCATCTTTTTATTTTTTTGAGACAGGGTTTCTGTGTAGCCCTGGCTATCCTGGAGTTTCTCTGTAGACCAGGCTAGCCTCAAACTTAGATATTCACCTGCCTCTGCCTCTCAAGTGCTGGGATTAAAGGCGTGCGCCACCGCTGCCTGACTCAGCTTTGAGTTTCTTGCAAGGTTAATCTGAAGATAACACATGGGATGTGGTCTGAATATGCAACCCTCCATATAGGTATGATCTGAGCGCTTCTTCTTCAGAAAGTGGCGCTATTCTGGGAGGCTCTGGAGAGTTAGGAGGCGGGCTCAGCAGGGACAAGTAGCTCCCTGAGGTCCTAGAGAGTGTGCTATCCGTGGTGCTGCTTCTGTCCTGCTCCCCGCTGTGTTACTACATTGCCTTTGCCAAGACGTTAACTGCTCTGCTTAGCTGCATCTCCCTGCCACGAACACACAAGTCTTTCAATCTGTGCGCAAACAACCCTCCCCCGAAGTTGCTTCTGTTCGGTGTTTTGGTCATAAGTAACTAAGAACAGCATGTAAAAATTCACAGCTGATCTCCTGGCATGCAGTTTACTTATACTACGTAAAGTAAAAGGTGCCCCATACGTTACCGTAAACTATCTTCAGGATAGCGCTGTCCTACGGCTTCCTGGAGTTGGACATTAAGAAAAGACACATTCTGCCAGGTTTCTTTTTCTCTTATTTTATCAAAAATGGAAGTATAGAAATCATACATGGTGTCTCCACCTTCCATCAAGAAAAAATTCCTCATGGCCTGCAAGTACTCCACCAACCTTGAAAACAGAGAAGACATGGAACAGAACACACTTTACGTCTGTACTGTAGAATTCTACAACAATACAAGATTTATGCACCGACAAGTCATTTGACAGATGTGCCTAAAAAAAAAAACACTAAAATTGGAATATTCATTCCTCTAAAATACTTTTTGGCAAATCACAAAAAAGGGGAAGGAAACAATAATTAATTAAAATCCCACCATTCAAAGTATCTACTTAGTTACTACTAGTTTTTTTTTTTTTGCTGAGCATTAAGAAAAAAAATATATCCTACCATATTAAACATCCTGCTTACTAAGCTCTGTATTTAACCTAATAAGCTGGCTAGTTTTTCATCAACATGGCTCAGGGATAGGAAACCTTACGTTAGAAAAATCCCTACATCAAACTGTCCTGTATGCAAGGCTGTGGGGGCATTTCCTTGATTCACAATTGATAGGGAGGGCTCCCCCCATTGTGGGAAAAGCCATCTCTAACTGGGTTGGTCAAGCCACGGGGAGCAAGCCAATAAGAAGCATTCTTCTGTGATCTCTGCTTCAGCTCCTGACTCCAGGGTTCGCCTAGGCTTCCCTCAATGATGAGTTGGGGTTTTTGTTTTGTTTATTGTATTTTATGTATGAGTGTTCTACATGTATATCTCCATGCCAGAAGAGGGCATCAGTTCTATTACAGATGGTTGTGAGCCACCAAGTAGTTGCTGGTAACTGGTCTCAAAACCTGTGGAAGAGTAGCCAGTGCTCTTGACCATGGAACCATCTCTCCAAGCCCTTAAACGATGAATTGTAAGTGTAAGCCAAATAAATCCTCTACTCCCTAGTCGAGTTTGGTCACTGTTTTATCATGGCAACAGAAAGCAAACGAGACACTTAATTTTATGAACTTTACGGAGATTATACATGAATAAGTCAGAGTCAGAAGTAGTTATGTTTTATGTTTTTCTTCAGAGAGCACACTTTGTGCATGTTTTAAAGGTTTCTTTTATTCTTTTGGTATGTCTTTTGACGCAGATTCTCACATAATGAATTAGTTACAACATGCTTAAATGTTGATTGTTAATTGATCTTTTCAAAAGAAGACTGTTAACTACATACCCATGTTCCAATTAAAGCATGCTTGAAATACAGGTTTTAAAGCATGCTCTCCAGAAGGCTCTATCTAGTACTTGATTTTCAGTACTAAAAACAGACACTTACAAAACCAAACAAGAAAGATAAAATATATGGGAAACAGAGGGGAAAAAATCCACTGGTTAATATCAACTGATTACTTCCAGAGCTAAGTTAGTCCTTTTTACCTGAAATCTCTTTTTAAGGTTTGCATGAGATTTCCACAGCAATGTAGATATTGTTTATCAATGTGAGGGTAGAGGCAAGACCTCAGGGTTAATTCAAAAGTCTGGCATGTCACAGATTCTGATGATCTATCCACGCATATGTCGCCACCAGCAAACTTCTCGTGAAAGTCGCTCTGCTCCAAATACAACCTTCAATATTAAAATGTGAATGAGTCTTCATTTTATGAGCTGTTGACAGAATTCTAATAAGTCAAAACCTACAGTCCCATGTTTACCTTTAGTTTCAGATTATCAACCATTACACAAAGCAACCTTTCCCCCAGAACATCTCTTTCGGGTTACTGGGGCCGTTAGGGTCAGTGCTGGAATTAGTTCTTCCATCAGTGCTATTTAGTGAATGGTAATCAGACAGTATGAAACCACAGAGGCATTATGGCTTACTCCACTGGAGTTAAGTTCCCGAAAGCATACTGAGCCCCAAACATGTGTAATACAGAGGAAGACAGTGCAGGGCCTGTCCAGATTCTCAGAAGTACATTCTACGTGAGCTACAGTATTCTTAGGGGGTGTGGGGTACAGAGATGTCAGCTGGGTCACATCTATATGCTTTCACAGATGAGGGAAAATTATACACCTGACACAGGTGAACAAGCATCTTCTTGTATTTCACCTGTTAGAAAGGATGAGGTTCTTGTTTTTGAGGAGGGAAAGACCTACCTGGCAGAAAGAAATAAAACTACAAAGAACTACTCACTTTATATTACTCAAAGTGTTTCTCAGTCACTGACAATATGGTATGGGTGTCATCACCTTGCAAAGTTGATGGCCAGCAGTGGGTCATGGATGTCATCTAGCTCAAAATGCCTTTCAGCAATGGACTGCATCCTTATGAGGTTCTCTTTGTTTGCCTGCTGCTCAGTGAGAATGTGTGGAGGAGAATCTTCTCCATGCTGAAGACGCAACTGTATAGATTCCAGAAAGAGGGTATATAAGCTTTTTCTTTCTGCATCTGAAACACAAATGCACAGGATGAATCTTGTTCTCCAAAGACGTCTTGCAGTATGTTTCACAGGCTGGAGATGGATTCGCAGTTGAGTGCTCCCAATGCTCCTCCAGGGGACCAGAGTTTGCTTCCCAGTGCCCACGTCGGAAAGCTTACAGCTGCCTGGTACCTCCAGCTGCAGAGGCTCTGACCCCTCTCCTGTCCCCCAGCTGCAGAGGCTCTGACCCTCTCCTGTCCCCCAGCTGCAGAGGCTCTGACCCTCTCCTGTCCCCCAGCTGCAGAGGCTCTGACCCCTCTCCTGTCCCCCAGCTGCAGAGGCTCTGACCCTCTCCTGTCCCCCAGCTGCAGAGGCTCTGACCCTCTCCTGTCCCCCAGCTGCAGAGGCTCTGACCCCTCTCCTGTCCCCCAGCTGCAGAGGCTCTGACCCTCTCCTGTCCCCCAGCTGCAGAGGGCCTCACCCCTCTCCTGTCCTCCAGCTGCAGAGGCTCTGACCCTCTGCTGTCCCCCACCTGCAGAGGCTCTGACACCTCTCCTGTCCCCCAGCTGCAGAGGCTCTGACCCCTCTCCTGTCCCCCAGCTGCAGAGGCTCTGACCCTCTCCTGTCCCCCAGCTGCAGAGGCTCTGACCCTCTCCTGTCCCCCAGCTGCAGAGGCTCTGACCCTCTCCTGTCCCCCAGCTGCAGAGGGCCTCACCCTCTCCTGTCCCCCAGCTGCAGAGGCTCTGACCCCTCTCCTGTCCCCCAGCTGCACAGGGCCTCACCCCTCTCCTGTCCTCCAGCTGCAGAGGCTCTGACCCTCTGCTGTCCCCCAGCTGCAGAGGCTCTGACCCTCTCCTGTCCCCCAGCTGCAGAGGGCCTGACCCCTCTGCTGTCCCCCAGCTGCAGAGGCTCTGACCCTCTCCTGTCCCCCAGCTGCAGAGGCTCTGACCCCTCTCCTGTCCCCCAGCTGCAGAGGCTCTGACCCTCTCCTGTCCCCCAGCTGCAGAGGGCCTCACCCCTCTCCTGTCCTCCAGCTGCAGAGGCTCTGACCCTCTGCTGTCCCCCACCTGCAGAGGCTCTGACACCTCTCCTGTCCCCCAGCTGCAGAGGCTCTGACCCCTCTCCTGTCCCCCAGCTGCAGAGGCTCTGACCCTCTCCTGTCCCCCAGCTGCAGAGGCTCTGACCCTCTCCTGTCCCCCAGCTGCAGAGGCTCTGACCCTCTCCTGTCCCCCAGCTGCAGAGGGCCTCACCCTCTCCTGTCCCCCAGCTGCAGAGGCTCTGACCCCTCTCCTGTCCCCCAGCTGCACAGGGCCTCACCCCTCTCCTGTCCTCCAGCTGCAGAGGCTCTGACCCTCTGCTGTCCCCCAGCTGCAGAGGCTCTGACCCTCTCCTGTCCCCCAGCTGCAGAGGGCCTGACCCCTCTGCTGTCCCCCAGCTGCAGAGGCTCTGACCCCTCTCCTGTCCCCCAGCTGCAGAGGGCCTCACCCCTCTCCTGTCCCCCAGTTGCAGAGGCTCTGACCCTCTCCTGTCCCCCAGCTGCAGAGGCTCTGACCCTCTGCTGTCCCCCAGCTGCAGAGGCTCTGACCCTCTCCTGTCCTCCAGCTGCAGAGGCTCTGACCCTCTCCTGTCCCCCAGCTGCAGAGGGCCTCACCCCTCTCCTGTCCCCCAGCTGCAGAGGCTCTGACCCTCTGCTGTCCCCCAGCTGCAGAGGCTCTGACCCCTCTCCTGTCCTCCAGCTGCAGAGGCTCTGACCCTCTCCTGTCCCCCAGCTGCAGAGGCTCTGACCCTCTCCTGTCCCCCAGCTGCAGAGGCTCTGACCCTCTGCTGTCCCCCAGCTGCAGAGGCTCTGACCCTCTCCTGTCCCCCAGCTGCAGAGGCTCTGACCCTCTCCTGTCCTCCAGCTGCAGAGGCTCTGACCCTCTGCTGTCCCCCAGCTGCAGAGGACCTGACCCCTCTCCTGTCCCCCAGCTGCAGAGGGCCTGACCCTCTCCTGTCCCCCAGCTGCAGAGGGCCTGACCCTCTCCTGTCCCCCAGCTGCAGAGGCTCTGACCCTCTCCTGTCCTCCAGCTGCAGAGGGCCTCACCCCTCTCCTGTCCCCCAGCTGCAGAGGCTCTGGCCCTCTGCTGTCCCCCAGCTGCAGAGGCTCTGACCCTCTCCTGTCCTCCAGCTGCAGAGGCTCTGACCCTCTGCTGTCCCCCAGCTGCAGAGGGCCTGACCCCTCTCCTGTCCTCCAGCTGCAGAGGCTCTGACCCTCTCCTGTCCCCCAGCTGCAGAGGCTCTGACCCTCTGCTGTCCCCCAGCTGCAGAGGCTCTGACCCTCTCCTGTCCTCCAGCTGCAGAGGCTCTGACCCTCTGCTGTCCCCCAGCTGCAGAGGCTCTGACCCCTCTCCTGTCCCCCAGCTGCAGAGGGCCTGACCCCTCTCCTGTCCCCCAGCTGCAGAGGCTCTGACCCCTCTCCTGTCCCCCAGCTGCAGAGGGCCTCACCCCTCTCCTGTCCCCCAGCTGCAGAGGCTCTGACCCTCTGCTGTCCCCCAGCTGCAGAGGCTCTGACCCCTCTCCTGTCCTCCAGCTGCAGAGGCTCTGACCCTCTCCTGTCCCCCAGCTGCAGAGGCTCTGACCCTCTCCTGTCCCCCAGCTGCAGAGGCTCTGACCCTCTGCTGTCCCCCAGCTGCAGAGGACCTGACTCTCTCCTGTCCCCCAGCTGCAGAGGCTCTGACCCTCTCCTGTCCTCCAGCTGCAGAGGCTCTGACCCTCTGCTGTCCCCCAGCTGCAGAGGACCTGACCCCTCTCCTGTCCCCCAGCTGCAGAGGGCCTGACCCTCTCCTGTCCCCCAGCTGCAGAGGGCCTGACCCTCTCCTGTCCCCCAGCTGCAGAGGCTCTGACCCCTCTCCTGTCCCCCAGCTGCAGAGGCTCTGACCCCTCTCCTGTCCTCCAGCTGCAGAGGGCCTCACCCCTCTCCTGTCCCCCAGCTGCAGAGGCTCTGGCCCTCTGCTGTCCCCCAGCTGCAGAGGCTCTGACCCTCTCCTGTCCTCCAGCTGCAGAGGCTCTGACCCTCTGCTGTCCCCCAGCTGCAGAGGGCCTGACCCCTCTCCTGTCCTCCAGCTGCAGAGGGCCTGACCCCTCTGCTGTCCCCCAGCTGCAGAGGCTCTGACCCTCTGCTGTCCCCCAGCTGCAGAGGGCCTCACCCCTCTCCTGTCCCCCAGCTGCAGAGGCTCTGACCCTCTCCTGTCCCCCAGCTGCAGAGGGCCTGACCCTCTCCTGTCCCCCAGCTGCAGAGGGCCTGACCCTCTCCTGTCCCCCAGCTGCAGAGGGCCTGACCCTCTCCTGTCCCCCAGCTGCAGAGGGCCTGACCCCTCTCCTGTCCCCCAGCTGCAGAGGCTCTGACCCTCTCCTGTCCCCCAGCTGCAGAGGCTCTGACTCTCTCCTGTCCCCCAGCTGCAGAGGCTCTGACTCCTCTCCTGTCCCCCAGCTGCAGAGGCTCTGGCCCTCTGCTGTCCCCCAGCTGCAGAGGCTCTGACCCTCTCCTGTCCTCCAGCTGCAGAGGCTCTGACCCTCTGCTGTCCCCCAGCTGCAGAGGGCCTGACCCCTCTCCTGTCCTCCAGCTGCAGAGGGCCTGACCCCTCTCCTGTCCCCCAGCTGCAGAGGCTCTGACCCCTCTCCTGTCCCCCAGCTGCAGAGGCTCTGACCCTCTCCTGTCCCCCAGCTGCAGAGGCTCTGACCCTCTCCTGTCCCCCAGCATCACCCTCACAGGTGGCACACACTCCCACAGACAGACAGCATTGCGGGCGGAGATGAAGAGAGACTCAGCAGCTGACAGAGCACACGGCTCCTCAGAGGACCTTAGTTTGGCTCCCACACCCACTTCAGGTGGCTCACAGCTGCCTGTAACTCCAGCTTTAAAGAAATCCAATGCCCTCTGCTGGCCTCCACACACATATCTGACACACACAATATAGATCCACACACACAAAATAAATGTTAAAAATGCTTAAAGGAATGAAGTTTACCTTTATAGAGCCTGAAGTTTTTCTGTTACCCATGAAAGCCTATCCCTGTTTTAATTTTATCTTTACAGCACAGCAAAACCACTTTTCATTCTCAGTTAGATGGACACATTTCTAATAGTGTAACTATCATGCTTTATAAGCTAACTTTGCTCTGAACAGAATAATACTTGAAGAATAGTTCTTAAATTTAAGTTACTACCATACTGTCTAAGATTACAGGATGGCTTACCCGAGTCAATTTCACTGGAAAAGACACTGCCAGTACTGGCCCAGTGAAACTCATTATAGTTTACTAGTTAATCAAAAAGGAAATCTTCCCCAAAGCAAAAATACTAAGGTAGTATGGTAACATAATTTTAAACCCAAATAAACAATATGGACTCATTCAAGTCTTTTCAGTTGGCTTATAAACATTTAACTTACTTAAATTGCATTCGGCAAGCAGTTAAAAAAATCCTTAAAATGTCTGAGCACTGCCTGAGCTCATTATCAAGTGCAAACTTGCCAGGGTCCATCCAAACGTGAAACGGTGTACCACTCTGACAATGCCAGAGGCACTGGACCTTCTGTGCTATCTTAGACCAAATGAAGGAGGGAGGGAGGGAGGGAGGGAGGGAGGGAGAGAGGAGGGAAGGAAATAAAACCCTGGGACCATGGCCAATTCACTGCTGGAATCAAAGCCAGCATGTACCAGAGGACAAGGACAAGGCCCTTAAGATCATTGGTGGGCTGCAGAGATGGCTCATTGGTTAAGAGTACTTGTTCTTACAGAGGACCAGGCTCAATACCTAACAGCCTCATGGCAACTGGCAACTTAAAATCTCAGGAACCTTTGGAGGTACCAGGCATGTATACAGTACAGAGACATTTGTATGTATGTATGTATGTATGTATGTATGTATGTATGTATGTATGTATGTATGTATAAAAAGGCAAAACACTCTTATGCATAGAATGAAGAACACAGCGGAGACTACCATTATCAGGGACAGTTCCAAAGCAAATAAATGCTTCTGACTCTGATGTGCTTTCCAAGCTCCATGTCAAGCTGGATTTCTATGGGGGGGGGGTCAGGAAATTGTCTCCTGAAGCCCTGAAGGACTAAAACACTCCAACCATGATTCAGACCTGCTGCCTGCCCCATGACCTCCACCCAAATGGAAAGAGCTGGTGTCACAGGACAGAAGGAGATGACAAAGTCAAATGGAAGTTATATTTAAAAGAATAAGAAGAGGGAGTTGGTGGCGCAAGCCTTTAATCTCAGCACTAGGGAGGCAGAGGCAGGCGGATCTCTGTGAGTTCGAGGCCAGTCTGGTCTACAGAGCGAGTGTCAGGACAGCCTCCAAAGCTGCACAGAGAAACCCTGTCTCGAAAAAACCAAAAGAGGGAAAAAAAAGAGTAAGAAGAAATGGCAGAGAACTGGTTTTTCGGTCAAGAACAATATCATGGCGATACAGATTACTGCCATCGCTCTTGGCTACTCAACCAGCTGGCAAGACTACCGCTGACGGCACCACACACTTTGTTAGGATGAGTTCACAGTGAAGTCCATCTCAACTGACAGGAGAGTTTTCTCCCTCCTGACTAGCTTTTATGGTAGCAGAAGGTGCTGTGCAAGAAAAGCTATCATCAGTCTTACCTAGCGCTGGGCCTTGAATGTTGCAGAGCCAATTTGACGGAAAAGAATGCACATTGGTATAACGGCGGCATAAAGTTTGTGTGGTTAACCAACTGCTTTGGAGTTGGATTTGAGGCCGGCTCCACAGAAAGCAACTCACGTTGGTACTGTAAACCTGGTCAAAGACTTAAGGCTCACTCAGTTGGTTATAGGCCCAATGGAGGAACCTACTGTTTGTTTTGCTAAATGGCCAAGTTGCCAGATTGCCTTCTAAATATGTCTTGGTTAAGGTGTCTAGCTGCGTTAACTACCATGACTTTGAAACAACTTGCAGTTGTAGGCCATCATGAAGGCACTCAAGGCAGGAACTGCAGCAGAAGCTATGGAGGCATGCTGCTTACTGGTTTGTTCCCCGTGGCCTCCTCAGTCTGCCCTCTTCAACATTCAGGAGCATCTGCTCAGGGATGGCACCGCCCACAGTGGGCTGTGCTCCCCCATATCAACCAATCAATGATAGACAGTCCCACAGACTGCTTTCAGACAGTAAGAATGTGTCTTCTCAGTTTAGAGTCCCACTTCTCAAACGACTTTAGCTTGCGTTGAGCTGACAAAAAGTAACCCCAACGCCACAGATCTCTCCTGCCCTCAGCCGTGGTCAAATATGCTTCTTTTTCCTGTGGGTGGAGCTCTTGACTATTCAAAGTGATGCGAGTAAGTGAAGAGTGCTCAGCCACCGATGGGACACCTGCGACAATCCCACCTCCCTGCCCCATGTCTCAGAGACCATCCAGGAAGATTGGGGGGGGAGGCGTAAGAGCTAAGGATGCCTTGTGGACAACCTGGCCGCCGTACTCGGCAACTCATGGGAGCAGGGGAGCCAGCTAAGACCGAGGGGGGGAGAGGCTCCTGATGGCCCACTCTGAGTCGATGCTACCTTAAGTTAGCGACTACTAAGGGAGAGTAACTTCTTTGGGGGCGTGGCCAGTGTCAGGAGGCCCACAGCCCTGGGCCTCTGCACAAAGCTAGCTGGCTTTAGTGGTTATAAGAACATACGACGAGCAGGACACAAAGCTGGGAGGAAAACGCGTTGGTGGAAGCCCGGGACGAGCTGGACGGGGAAGATTCAGAGGTGAACACGAGTAAAATGTATTGGATACATGCACGGAATTATGAAGGAAAAAATATTAAAACAAAACAAAACCAGAATGATGCCTGAGCACAGCAGTGAACACCTTCAATCCCAGCACTCGGGAAGCAGAGGCAAGAGGATCCCCGAGTTCAAGACCAGCGTGGTCTACAGAGTGAGTTCTAGAACAGCCAGGGCCACGCAGAGACCCCGTCTCAAAACACCAAACCGAACCAAACCAACCAACCAAACAACACCTGGCGCTAATTCCCACCCACAGCAGCAGCTTTGGCCGCTGTGTCTGGGGAGGCCGGCGGTGAGTGGGGACGGGCGCCGCGGGGAAGGGACCGGAAGGGACCGGGAGGGACCGGAAGGGACGCCTCACCTCTGGCCGCCGCCTGCCACGCGGGGCCGTCGGCGCAGCGCAGGGTCTTGAGCAGCTGCATGGACTTGCCGGCCATTATAATCTGCTTCAGGACAGGCTTGAGGAAGGACACCATGGTGTGCTGTCTTCCGCACGGACCCCGGTCGCTGCCAGAACTGGCACTGGCGTTGTCACTCAGCCTTTCTTCGCTCTCTGTCTTTTCCGAGACGCTATACAGTGTGTAGGTCGCATACCAGAAGTCTCTGTGATTGACCGGGACGTTTTTGTTCCTGGGGAGAGTCAAAAGGATTTCGAGTGTTAGTTTATGTGCCTTTAAGACAGCAGTATGCTTTGTCTTAGTCTAGAAAATCTAGCAATAATATCAACCGTTAGCAAGATGATCTCCAGGCAAAACGGAGCAGTTTCCTCTAACCTCATTCAGTTTAATCCACAAAGATAAATATTCTCAATTTAATTAAAATTTAAGTGAAATATTTTCCTTAATTGACACTAAACAGAATATGACAATTTAGCTCCCTTTAGAAACATTACAAATAGTTTTCCATTATAGCTTATAAGTTCAAAAAAGTCAACTCACTAAAGGGAAATTGTCATAAATGAATGGATTAAGATTTTTTCTTTATTTGCCTTATTAAGTATTACATTAAAAAGACAATATGTAGCTTATTTTAAGAAATAAATGCCTTAAAATTCTATACTATTGTCATACCTTACTGATAAGTTAATGGAAATAGTTTGTACTATATGATGTCATCTAAGTTCATCTCATAGGAAGCAGTATACACTTAAAATCATTCCAAAATATAAACTGCTATGAAAAGAGGTGCCATGCCATAAAACTCAAAGGCATTTTCCACTGGCATCTGCTGCATGAAGACGTAGCAGAACACGTCTGGGCTATGGTGGAACACCTGTATCCCTAGCCTACCTGCTCAGCTCTGTGCAAAACTTAGAGTATTTGGTTTTAATGTGGCATCAAATAAACGCCAGCACCTGGCATCCCCTGGGATCAACGCGGACCTCACCTCTGAATGATAAACTCCCTGGCGCCATCCCACAGGTGACCATGCACGATCCATTCGTCCACAGTCTGGAGGTAGGGCCGCACCGTTTCCACCCAGAGAGAGAACAGGAGCGAGACCTGAGGATGAGACCTCGCCTGTTAGTCTTCTGAGCTCCTCTCACCGGGCTAGGGTTAAGTTTAAACATCTCAAAAGGCCTTTCAAACGTGACTGCATTTCTATGCTTTTTGAAACCAAGAAGTTGAAATTCCCAAAACATATTCTTTAGGATTCTTATTAAGAAATCCATCTAAATGTGGCATAAACACGACATCCATCGTTGCTAGGGGAAACTTTCTGCGCTGATTTGTTTTTTTATCAGCTTGACACAAGCTAGGGTCTCCTGGGAAGAGGGAACCTCAACTGAGAGAATTCTTCCGCTAGATTGACCAGTAAGCAAGCCTGTGGGGCATTTTCCTGACAATGATTTTAGAATGACTGAGAGCAGTGCCATTCTTACACAGGTGGCCCTGTGCTGTCTAAAAAACCAAGCTGGCAAGTCCTGAGGAGCAAGCCAGGGAGGAGTGATCCCCCAACCTCCTACTTCCCCTCTGCTCCCACCTCAAGTGTCTGCCCTGGGTTCCTTGGATAATGCGCTGTAACGAGGATGTATACACCAAATAAACTTTCCTTCCCCCGTTGTCTTTCCTCATGGCGTTTACCACACAAGAGAAAGCAACTTAAGCAGGAACTGGAAGCAGAGAGTGCTGGTGTGACAGACCTGACTGCTGTTTTCCGGGAAGACTGTGAAAGGACTTTGGAACCTCAGCATGAAAACACCACTGTGACTTGGAGCTTAATGAGACAGACGTGTAGGAGCTCGGCAGATAAAAATGCTAACAGAGGCCCAAGCAAGGGTGCTGGGGCACGCCTTTCATCCCAGCACTTGGGAGGCAGAGGCAGGGGGATGTCTGAGAGTTCGAGGTCAGTCTGGTCTGTCTGGAAAAGTATCTATCACAAAATTTATCACCTTAGTCTCTAGGTTTCTTCAGGCCATAGACTTGTGATCTTTTTAGAAGGAGTCTCATTATGTAGTTGTTGATGGCCTGTAACTTGCTATGTAGACCAGGCTGACCTTCAACTCAGAGATCTGCCTGCATCTGCCTCCTGAATGCTGGGATTAAAGGCGCACACCACCGCTCCTGGCTGTGATTTTTGTAAAAGGCTTATTATAAATATCTATGTAAGTCAAAAGGTGTTTTTCACTTCTTGCTTTCTTTTTGCCTCATCCTTCCGGTTTTTTGGTAATTAAAACAAATAAACCAGCCATGAATCTGGAAGCTAACTGTGAAACTTTGAACAACCGTCTGGCAAACCATGACTTAAAACTCATTTAACAAGGAATTATGACAGTCTATTCACTACCCTTTTATAAGGCAGAGACACAACGTACAGTTTGTTCAGAAGCTTCTCCAACATTGTCATATTCAAGAATGGCCTTGTACAGGGTGTTAAGCAGGTGAGATGCCCGGACGACATTCCGAGTATCAGGCGGGACTTCTGCTACTCCAGTACTAAACACTTTGTGCAGGACCTTCAGCTGAGCCAATCGAGGTGCCAACTTGTTCACCACTATCGCAAGTGTTACCGTGGTATCTGTTAGGTATCAATAAGTCAGACTTAACAGCAAGGAAAGACACCCGTGACCGACATCTAATACTGATGCTAATTATGCTTTTGACATATGGAATGGCATCACCCAATGGAGGGTGGCAGGTCTTAATATATCGTATCTTTAATATTATATTTCCTTAAAGGAATGCCCATAAGCCAAGGAGAAAAAGATAATTCAGACAAAAATAAGGGAACTGAGAGATCTCAGGAAAGGAAAGACAATGTTTTTTTAGTGTAGCGGAAGGGTACTCAACCTCACTTAGGACGAGCATAAACTAAAATTACACAATGTCAAGCAAACTCTCCTACCACAAGCCACTAGTTCAGTGAGGGGCAGGGGAGCTACAAAGTTCCCGGATGGTAGTAGCCCAGCTCCTTACCCCGAACATCAAAGTAGATGTACAATTCTACACATGTGGCAAAGTAACACGTCACAAAGACACTGTGCCTTCCCATTCTGCTGGGCCTGTAGTGTCTGGCTTATATGCTTCTGTGACATGTCAGTTTCCTAGCTGACTCTATACTAACTATAATTATGGAAAAGGTCACCACTGAGAGAAACAAGGAGACACAGGAGCTCTTTGCATTTCTCTATCTTTAGTTAAAAGAAAGAAAAGAAAATTAATGTTGAATAAAAAACTACAGACTGGTTGGCCATTTTATTCCTCCCATACTGGTAAAGACAAAAGTTTAATAACATGTTACAAGAGCCCGCTGACAAGAGCATACATTTTTTTAAAGGATATTTTCTTTTTTTTTAAGGATTTATTTATTTATCACATATACAGTGTTCTGCCTACATGCCAGAAGAGGGCACCAGATTGAATTGTAGATGGCTGTGAGCCACCATGTGGTTGCTGGGAACTGAACTCAGGACCCCTGGAAGAGCAGCAGTCAATGCTCTTAACCTCTGAGCCATCTCTCCAGCCTGACAAGAGCATACATCTATCTTTATCTAATTGTATAGGAATACAGAAAAATCTGGCAGACATCACATGTCATCATATATACTCTTTGACCTATCAGCTCCATTCCGCACGTGTGTAATCACTGCTATACTGCTAACAGCAGGGGGGAAATAACGCAAATGTCCACCATTGAGAACTGGGCCGTGGTATAGAACAAAACTTTCCTTCGGTTTTGTAAAGGAGAGGAGGGCGCTCTTGTTTGTGTACACAGCGCCCACCAGAAGGATGTATAACAAGCTGTCTGTCTCGGGAGGGGACCTGGAGCAAGAAAAAGTATTCACTGGACGCTGTTCTGTAGTTTTTGGATTTTTAAAGAGACAAGTGGGTTCAAAATATCAATTTAACCTTCAGAAGTGATTTAACATTTTCGTTACACTTACTTATTTGTGTGAGTGTGCGTATGTGTGTCACAGGGCACATGTGGAGATAGCACAGCACATAGGAACTGTTTTCTCCTCTACCATGTGGGTCCTACAGACTGGACTGAGGTTGTAAGGCTTGGTAGCAAACACCTTTACCGGCTGAGCTATCTCCCCAGCCTGAAAACTACTTTTAAATTGAATATATTCACAAGAATTACTTATTTGCAATGCCATTTTTAAGACTTTTATCACCAATGAGTAACTTTAGTACCACTCAAAATTAGTTACTTAGCTTATGAATTCAATAAAATTTACCTACCACTACTGATGATGCACTTCTCGATCTCTGTGAGCTCCTCTTTGAAGTTGATGAAATACTTGTAGAGGGCCCACATGAAAGCCTGGTAGGTTCTAAAGGGAGCCTCCGGCGGCTTCTTAGGTGTGGCACCGTTTCCGGGCGGCAGGGTTTCAGAGCTGTGGCCCATGACTTCATCGATGAACTCCTGGAGCCGGAACACTACCTGGCCATATGCTGCTATTTGTTCAAGCACAGATCGCAAACAGCTCTACGACAAAAGTCAAGTGCAATTACTCAAGCCTCGGCTTTCTCAGGACAGAATAAGAGAAAAAAGAAGAGAATAAAATGAACCCTGACGGTCACGAATAATACTTAAGAACTGGCTAAGCCTTGTGACGGTGCACAACTTAAGTTTGCTTTTTAGAGCTTTTACAATATTCAATAAATCTGATATTGCATTACCCACATTTAAAAGACTACTGTTTAATTTTAAATTTAACTAAGTGACAACAAACACAAATACTTACATGTGTCAAATGAGTTACGATAATATTGTTTCTCACAGTCACCTTTCCATCTACCAACTGAAATATAAACAGCTTTTTTACCCCTGAAAGTAACCTGAAATGAAATAAAAAAAAAATCAATATACTCGAAGTTTACTAAAACAGTCACTATAGTACATCTGAGAAATTTATTTTGAAAACTCAGAACTGGGAAAAAAAAATATAGGTTGATGACAAGAAAATGGGAAGGAAGATCACCAAACTTCATGGGACTAAGTTAAGACTCAAGGTATTTCAGCATCCTTCTAGAAGTTCAGCAGCTATCATGGCGGTGGTGGTGCACGCCTTTAATCCCAACACTTTAGGTGGCTCTCTGTAAATTCGAGGCCAGCCTGCCTAATCTACAAAGCAAGCTCCACAACACAGAGAAACCCTATTTCAACAAAGTTCAACAGAAATCCTGTTTCAACAAAGTTCAACAGTTATCTCTACACACCTCCCACACCCCTACACACACACACACACACACACACACACACACACACACACACACACACACACACCCCACATACACATGCCTGCTACAATCCTGAGGATACAAAGAGACCACTGCATGTCTATAGCTGTCAGAATGTTGATAGAACATTAGTTCATGTCAGGAGCTCATCATAGGCCAAATTAGACTTGCAGTGCTGGGGTACTACCATAGACAACTCTCACAGACATTTCAAATGAAAGCAGTCAGTAGCAAACCTTGCTTTGAATTCAGATAGTCACAAATGATGGTCTAGCCCAATCCCAAATCATCTAAAATGGGAAAGAATATGTCATAACCACACAATGTTCACAGTGGAATCTGATGTCCGCACTTCATTTTTAAGAATATGTCAAAACCACACAATGTTCACAGTGAAATCTGATGTCCGCACTTCATTTTTAAGGCCTGTTTCTAGCCTGCAATGGAAATCCTTGGTTATATTCCTTAAGAACAAAACAATATTATTTCAGTTCTCGATAATAAAATCTCCCGGGCTAATGCATCTTACCATAAGGTTTCCCGAATAACCTGTGTCTCAGTAACCACCACCTTGTCATCTGGAACGTATAATGGATCATTGCTGTACAGGTGTTGGTCCCTGTTAAAGAGCAAACACCAAAGGTCAACAGGAAAGTTTTTAGATAACATTACTTGCCTCAATGAATATATGCAATTTTATACTCAGTAATCAACAAATAAACACAGCAAATGCCTTACGTGCACTCCATATTAATTTTCCACATTCACTGGAATACTTACAGTGAAGCATGTTCAGAGCAATTATAATTGTGTATCATCCAATTAGGCAAATGCTTAAAACTATGCCCTGCTTTTTTAAAAACTAGTGTTTTTATAGTCAGTGCACTAAAATGGAAATTAGATGTGAGTATACACCAACCCATTTACACAGAAAGTAAAAATGGCACTGTTAGTCATTTTGTGTTGTTACTCAATATTAATTACGTGTTGCTCAAGGGAGATAGGGCTTAGCTCAGTGAAACAGTGCTTGTCTCAAGTGCCCAAGGCCCTCAATCCAATCCCCAACTCGATGCATGTCTAGAACTAACAAGTTTGTAATTCAAGGACGGACTTGACTTGAATCACAAGTCAAAGCAAAACGTTTAAATGTTTATCATTAGTAAACGGAGAGTTTAGCTCACCAGACAGCAGCTAAGTTGGAGTGCAAATGCACACTGTGTGGGATCCGGGAGCGCCTGGTTGTCCAGTACTGATGGACCACGTGCTGCTCCAGCCAGCTCCGGCTATCTGGCTCATCTGTTAGAAGAAGCGGGATACGCACTGATTTTCATGGTGTACTAGGTCCTTTCTTTCCTTGTGACTCAAAGTGTAGCTTCCTTGGGATGAGTCCCTGTCTGTGAGGGCCCTCCCGGGGCTTAGTCAAGTTGTCACAAAAAAGATACAAGGTTTAAGAACTATGAGGAGTGGAAAAAGCTATGAGTGTTTGCAGATTAATACTAATCACTTAGCCGGGCGGTGGTGGCGCACGCCTTTAATCCCAGCACTCGGGAGGCAGAGGCAGGCGGATCTCTGTGAGTTCGAGGCCAGCCTGGTCTACAGAGCGAGTTCCAGGGCAGCCTCCAGAACAATACAGAGAAACCCTGTCTAGAAAAACCAAAAATAAAATAAAATAAAATAACCAAAAAAAAAAAAACCAAAACAAAAAAACTAATCACTTACATAAGAAACAAACAAACAATTGAATTTAAGAAGAAGATTCACCAAGAATGCCCAACACAGACAAAGTGCGGAAACCAACAGTGTTCTCCTATCCCTACGTGAACAAAGCAAAACAAACCGCTCAAGAGTCACACAATAAAAACTGTAGCACACACAGAAATCACTAGATGACTACTTGAGAATTTAAAAAATAACATTACCAATAAGCAAACAACCCAAAAAACTTCATAGGACTAGGGATCTATCTCAATGGCAAAGTATTTACTTAACATTCACAATGCTCTATGTTTACTTCCCAAGCAAATCATAATGAAATTTTCTAAAGTCTAATATAATGTAAAATAATTAGAAAAAATGGAGATCTTGTCAGCTTCCCCAAGCTAAATCTACAAATATAAGCTAAAACCCTAATCAAAAATCCAGTTGGAGAGCCGGGCGTTGGTGGCGCACGCCTTTAATCCCAGCACTCGGGAGGCAGAGGCGGGCGGATCTCTGTGAGTTCGAGGCCAGCCTGGTCTACAAAGTGAGTTCCAGGACAGCCTCCAAAGCCACAGAGAAACCCTGTCTCGAAAAACAAAACAAAACAAAAAAAAAGTCCAGTTGGAGGGCTGAAGAGCTGTCTCAGTGCAGGCTGTTCTTCCACAGGTTCTGAGTTCAATTCCCAGCAACCACGTGGTGGCTCACAACCATCTATAACGAGACCTGGTGCCTTCTTCTGGCCTGCATGGATACTTGCAGGCAGAACACTGTACATAACAAATAAAAAAAAAAAAAAAAAAAAAGAAAATCAAAAGAAAAACCCTACCCAAATGCAATAATAATAAAACAAACATAAAAATACAGGGAAATGTTTTTTTAAGCAAAATCACAAGACTAAACACTAACCATCTGAAAAATTCAGTTAAGATTTTAAATGTTTATTTATGTGTGTGTATGTATATGAGTGTGAGCGTGTTTGGGCTTGCACGCCTGTGTGTGTGCACGCGGTACCCAGCGAAGCAGGAAGAGGGTGCTGGATCCTGTGGGGCTGGATTACGGTGGCTGTGAGCAGCTCACCGGGTGCTTGGAGCTCAGGTCCTCTGGAAGAACAGCAAGCTCTCTCAAGTGCTCAGCCACTTCTTCAGCGGCTCAAATTCACGTTTGAAAAAATAAAGAACAGTTTCTTTTTACTCTAAGTCAGAAGAGTAAAAGCTGCTTGTAAAATATCTAAAGCCTAAGAACTGACATCATTTATCAAAGAGCCCTGGGGAGATGGCATAGATTCGAAACCGAAATGAGGCCGGGTATGATGGCATACTTCTAAAATTCTAGCACTTAGGAGGCAGAGGGAGGAGGACAGGCTCACGTTACAAAGAGATGCTGTCTAGAAACCACCCAAACCCCAGTGGAACAAGTAAACAATGGCAATTATCAAGAAATGCACAAGTACATGAACCCTTAAACACCCTGTAGTCAGATCAGTGTGAACGCAGACACTGCCCAGGCAGTCAGACCAGTGTGAATGCAGACAGACAGACAGACAGACAGACCAGTGTAAATGCAGACAGACAGACAGATCAGTGTGAATGCAGACAGACAGTCAGATCAGTGTGAATGCAGACAGACAGATCAGTGTGAATGCAGACAGACAGACAGATCAGTGTGAATGCAGACAGACAGATCAGTGTGAATGCAGACAGACAGACAGATCAGTGTGAATACAGACAGTCAGATCAGTGTGAATGCAGACAGACAGATCAGTGTGAATGCAGACAGACAGATCCGTGTGAATGCAGACAGACAGACAGATCCGTGTGAATGCAGACAGACAGACAGATCCGTGTGAATGCAGACAGACAGACAGTCAGATCAGTGTGAATGCAGACAGACAGTCAGATCAGTGTGAATGCAGACAGACAGATCCGTGTGAATGCAGACAGACAGACCAGTGTGAATGAATGCAGACAGACAGACAGACAGACCAGTGTGAATGAATGCAGACAGACAGACAGGTCAGTGTGAATGCAGACAGACAGACAGATCAGTGTGAGTGCAGACAGACAGACAGATCAGTGTGAGTGCAGACGCTCCCCAGGCTAAATTCTCACACAAATCCAGACTGAGCAGGTAACCTGGGGGGGTAACCTATCAAGGAAGGAACGTGAGATGGGAATATGAAACCGCATCGCTCACACTCGAGTGAACAGTTTAAGAACAGAGGAAGAGAAGTGCCATACCAATGCGGGCACATCTAAGGAGAGAGTTCTAAGGAAGGTAAGGAAACAACTTACTTGTATTGCCAATTATGCATATACACCAGGTATATATACACCAGTTGTTTACATATATACACCAGCCAACTAAAGCTGGGGATCAGAAGTAAAAGTGGACAAAATATGTACAACAGGATGACTTTATAATCTTCCAGAGTTGTCTAGAATTTCTACCAGTGCACAGCTGCTCACTGATGACAAGATAAACATTCAACTAAAAAAATAACCTCTCCATATCTTTCCCCTTTTGCTACACTGAGAAAGGTTAGCCCTCTAAACAACAGGCCAACTCTTTACAACAGTAAGGAAAACAGTTAGGACTAAGTTATCAGAATGACTTTTGAAACACTACATTTCACGGCTGGAGAGATGGCTTGGTGGTTAGGAGCACTGGCTACTCTCGCAGAGGACGCAAGTGTGACCCCCAGCACCCACATGGTGGCTCACAGCCATCGGTAACTCCAGTTCTAGGGACCCGATGGCCTCTTTCGACCTGTGTGTGTGGGCACCAGGCACGAACACGGTACAAACAGGAACACACAACACCCCCACATAAAGTAATAATAAAAATATTAGAACAAACCCTCCATCCTAAATTTCCAGTGCTGCTTTTCTTATCTGAAGTGATGTAAGGGTAGAAGCTATAGCGCTACTTCTCGGGCACGCACGTAAGGCAGTTTAAGATTTGGTGAGAACCCTAAGGAGCACACACCGGCACGTAGCCATGTATGTAATACCTTCCCAGCAGACTTGAGGCCCCCCTTTTCTGCTGTGGTCCGGCTCGTCTACTGGGGTCCTGTCTACCTGTATCCCAGAGTCTTCTCTGCTTAACGGCTGCTGGGCATCTTCGTCCTCGCTGTCTTCAGACCAGTTCTGATGTAAGGAGACAAAAGAGCTTACTCTCGAGGCCGTAACTATCAGAGCGACTTAGGCTGAAAACCAAGGAACATTTATTTCCATAGAGAAGAAAAAGTCAAATGAAGCGTTCTTCTAAGTTTCCATAATGGGACTGGAATAGGTGGACGTGTGAACTCAGCTTTCTATGAATAGAAGTAGCAAGACACATTTCTGAATTTCAAAAGAATCCAGCATGCATCATTTCTTTGAGGCAAAAACTATGAGAGCAAGCTTTGCTCTCTAGTTTCCTGGATCAATAAGTACAATAGGAACTAAATGTGTTTTTAGTCATTGAGTACATTTATTGCACTAGTCTATTCAAAAAAGAAATTATTCTAGGGGAGGGGTGTTCTAACCTGAAAAATTTCCCTTTGTCTTCTGCTTAAAACAACACCAAATAGTTCTACTATAGCATTACTTAACATGTAAATTGTATACTGATTTGGCCCAGAATCTTACTAAATATTCCACAACTCACTTCTCTAAATGGTTACCTACTACATCTTATTTAGAGAGAGCGTGTACGCAGACACACGAGTGAGCATGCTCACCGTGGCTCACATGTGCAGGCCAGAGGACAACTTTCAGGAATTGCTTCTCTCCATCCTGTTCAGGTGTTCGGGTTTCAGTAAGCCCCTTTACCCGAGAAGCTTAGAGAATTCCTTTTTAAATAGCATGCTCTCTGGTGGAAGGGTACACTAAGATTATTGCTGCCATGTGGGCATGTGTTTATATGTGCAATGGCAAAACCACAGCCACTTACCGGTGTATCGACATCTGGGCCAAGGCCAATCTCTTCACCTTCCATCAAGTATTTCCCCCAGTCAAAATCATCTTTCTTTTCTAAAATGTAACAAAGGAGCCTTATCAGCTTTATCATAATTGTCTAGGAGAAAAACAAAAGCAAAACAAAACAAAACAAAAATCCTAAGCCCCATAAGACCACAGGAAAAGAAATTCACAAAAGTCTTAATAAATCCAAATTCTAATGTATCTTTTATCATTTGAATTAATTCACCCTCAGAAGTTCCGTTTTCACGGAATAAAATGTCTAACTTACAAAGCCAGGATTTACTTTTTCTTTTTTTTTTTTTTTTTTTTTAAAGATTTAGCACATATAGTGTTCTCTCTGCGTGTCTGTCTGCTTGACAGAAGAGGGTACCAGATCTCATTATAGATGACTGGGAGCCACCATGAGGTTGCTGGGAACTGAACTCAGGACCTATGGAGGAGCAGAAGGTGCTCTTAACCCCTGAGCCATCTCTCCAGCCCACAGAGCTTACATTCTAAGTGAAATTTTGCAACTTCATCCAAAGCAAAATAATTTAATTTAATTTCCTGATTTTATAACTTTTTGGTTTCCAAGACAGGGCTTCTCTGTGTAGCCCTGGCTGTGACTTTACAACTTTTGACAAAAACAAATTTGTGTCTGGTGACATACCCACTTCTTTGTTTCTTGGAGTTTCCACATAGCTGCTATTTGAAGGAGAATCAGACAGACACAGAAGGAGTGACAGGATGGAATAATGCACATCTGTCTTTAAAACAAAAAGGGGAGAATGGCGGTGAGTGCTTCTGAAACCAGACCACATAAAGGACTACACATGGGTTAGCATAAAATAAATTCTAGTCTCTACACTTCCTTCACAGTTCAAACGTTTACATCTAAGAAATCTAAGTCACATGAAGTCTGGGTCTGTATTTCTTTTCTTTTTGGTTTTCTGAGACAGCGTCTCTGTGTAATAGCCTTGGACTCACAGAGATCCGCCTGCCTCTGCCTCCTAGGTGCTGGGATTAAAGGTGTGCTCCACCAACGCCCGGCTGGTTCTATGTTTCTCACAAGTGTAAGATATTTAAGTGGACTAATGACTTTATTCCTAGATGAATTGTGATACATTCTTTAGAACATGACGTTATGGCTAAGAGTGAAGTTATTCTCTGGTGGCAATATGCACCTTGAAGATTAAACATATCTAACTACTTGTCACAGGGTACTATATTCTGTCTAACCAATCTTACTAATAACTTAGATTTCTTCTAACGGTTTAGTACCACAAATTATGAATGTTCTTTCATAATTATGAGTTTACTTGTCTAACAAACTCCTAAAATTTAAGCCGAAGAATATTTGCCTTCGAAATTTCAAGGATCACTATCAAATAACCTCTACAAAAACCACATTTACATTTAGTACAAAGACTGCACGTGCACAATTGCACAGAGCATAAATGTATCTGTTTCCTACACCTTTTATTACTCAGACAAGTAAGGACGTTCTTGGTCTTTGTTTTTAAAGATTTATTTTTTTACATCATTAGGCAGCTCTGTCCTTGTGTGAGCCTTCCAGAGTATATGTACATAAACTTAAGGGTACAGCCTGTAACACATGTGCTTAGTTTCTTCTCTATTAACTGTCACACTCTTTCCTGACAGCAATCTAGTATCCGTTAATGGTTACAAATCGTAACAATGAAAACACCAGACTTCTCCATTCTGAGAGTTCTTGTAACAAATCACTGCACCCCAGGTGGCCTGTGGGCCCCACATAATATCAAAGCACATCTGGGATATATATATATATATATATATATATATATATATATATATATATATATATATAGAAACGGTAGCTATCTGGGATATATATATATATATATATATATATATATATATATATGGTAGCTATTTGAAAAGTTTTTTTTTTTTTTTTTGGTTTTACAAGACAGGGTTTCTCTGTATTGTTTTGGAGGCTGTCCGTCCAGCCCGGCCTCGAACTCACAGAGATCTGCCTGCCTCTGCCTCCCGAGTGCTGAGATTAAAGGCGTGCGAGTTTTAAGGTAAGCAAACTGTGCTATAAGTTATGCCAACCACTGTTTTCCACAACCATAGTGAATTCCCAGTTAGATGAGCAAACCAGGAGCATGTTGGTTGTTTCATAGCAAATCCGAGGCCACAGTTAACTTGTTCTCCACAAGGTCCTGTTCTGTAAAGAGTGAATACAAGACGGAGAACTCACAACCCAAGGTTACCTTTATTTTCTCTACGCCGGGAAGTGCCGAATTTAGAAACTCCGTAGTTAATCTCTTCCAGCTAGCAGCTTTGCCGAGATCAGAATGAATGGTGAATTTTTCATAAATCCTAAAATATATATATATAAAATCAACTGATAGCGAAAGATCTTGATGAAAACACATTAATGAATACATAGAGATATATAGAGAATCGACATACATACCCTTCTATTGTTTTTTCTATTTTGTGACTGTTGACATCCAAGAACCGATGAAATCTAGTGAGGACAAAGTGCAGATTTTAATGCCAATACTGTCAATAGAGCTAAGCATACTCGAGCCACAGCTCGCCATAACCCGGCATATGCCTGACACTCCTTACAACACTGTCTTTCGGTTCCCACGATCGGTATAACAGTTTCCTAAGGTTTTTGATAGGTCTTGCACTATATGAAGCTAGGGATAGCCTTTCAACTCACAACAATCCTCCTGCCTGAGCCACCCAAAGTGCTATAGTTACAGGAATGCATCGTTATTCCTGGCTAATCTTTTGTCTTTTTAACTCAAGAGAGAGACACCGACCCAGTAACCTCTCAACACTCATCCTCTGAGTACTTTACTAAATGCACAAATTAAATACAAGTACAACTATCAGATATTTAGAAAGCTTCGGCAAGGGTCTGGAGAGATGGCTCAGAGGTTAAAGAGTCCTTGCCATTCTTCCGGGAGACCCGGGTTCCACTCACAACACCCACGACTGTCTGTAACTCCAGCTCTAGGGGAATCAGCTGACTTCTGGTCTCTTCGGCACAAGGTGCACGCAGGACACGCATAAGCACATAAGAGCCAAACCACCCGCAATAACACCTAAACGTCACCAGTGGGGACCACGGACTGTCATCAGTGTAACAAGCAACCGCATCTGGAGACAGCTCGAAGCAAGTGTAACGCAACGCAGAAAGACGCATTTTTTTTTCCTCCTTGGGGAGGAAGTCACAGATGCGCTTTTACCACGGTTGCTATACATCTTGTGTCTCTCCCAGCTCTAAAATGACTGTCGTCTGCCTCCTGCCAGTAGAGGTATTATAGAAGAAACCTTGCACGCGGCCCGAGCAAGAAGAGGGGGGTTGGCGAGGCTGAAATTTTCACAGGGCACTCAGGGGAAACCGAGGCACCAGGAGCAGCCGGCGGTCACAGGAGGGCCGCCCCGCCCCGTCCGCCCGCCCCGCCCGCCCCGCCCGCCCGCAGCCGCGATCCCGCACCTGAAGTTGGACCAGACAAAGTCCAAGGCCAGCTGGAAGTTGGCGTCCGCCTCGTCCTGCAGGCCGGTAACCCGCCGGACGAGCTCACGCACATGGCGGTCCAGCTGTCTGTCCATCCGGCTCCCGGACAACGGAGCCCGGGCCATAGCTGCCCCGCTCGCCCGCCGCCGCTGCAGGAGTCTCGGGCGGAGGGGCGGGCGGACTGCTCTCGCGAGAGCCCCAGCTCGCGCGGCGGCGCGGAGATCCCGGAAGCGGAGACTTTTTTTTTTTTTTTTTTTTTTTTGCGAGCGTTCCTGCAGCTGGTGCTGGTGTGCGCGCTTGCTGCGTTTTGCGGGGTGCAGTTAGCCCCTGTGTGGTGGTGAGTGTGTGTGTGTGTGTGTGTGTCTGTGTCTGTGTGTGTGTGTCTGTCTGTGTGTGTCTGTGTGTGCTCTTTCTGCTCGCAGCCCGGGGAAGTTGGGAGTGTCTTCAGAGTCTTAGCCGTTGTTTGCTGTGGATCCCTGTATTTTAATAAGGGTCTCTGGATAACCCTTGTTTAATGCTTTACATTCTGATGTGTTTTGAGGACACCCAGTCCTCCAGGCCAGTGTATGGTTCCTCCATCGTTTTTCTTTTTTTCTCTCTTTTTTTTTTTTTTTTTTTTTGAGCGCCACGGCTTTTTAAATTCATGCTCGAGGGGGCTGGAGAGGTGGCTCAGAGGTTAAGAGCACTGGCTGCTCTTGCAGAGGTCCCGAGTTCAAGTCCCAGCAACCACATGGTGGCTCACGGCCATCTGTAATGAGATCTGGTGCCATCCTCTGACCTGCAGGCATACGTGCAGACAGAACACAGTATGCATAATAAACAAATCTTTAAAGGAAAAAAAAATTCATGCTCGAGCTTTGAGCTTCAGTTTGTATCCCAGATGATAAAAATTGGGTTCTCAGTGGTTCTGATCCGACCTGGGACAGACACATGGTTAAAGCAGAAGAGTCCACTTATTACCGTGGTTCTCAATCCTCCTAATGCTGCCACCCTTTACTTAACAGCTCCTGATGTCGGTGGTGACTCTAACCATAAACAGTTACCTCACTGCTGCTGTGATTTTGCCGCTGTTAGGAATTGTAATGTAAATACCTGATTGGTTGAGAACCTCTGGTTTATTTGGAATGGTAAAGTGTGTGTGTGTGTGTGTGTGTGTGTGTGTGTGTGTGTGTGTGTGTGTGTGTGTGTGTAATGTGAGGGCAGTCTCCGGGTGTGGCATCTGCCACCCACTCGATGGCCAGAGTTGTGTCTCCCTCGCCGCCGCTCCCGGTGCGTTCAAAGCTCAGGGTTAGGTGACCCTTCCAGTGAGGAGGACTGGTCCTTGGTCAAGGGTACAGTACAAGTAGTGACAGCTCTCAGAGTGCTAGAACCCCCCAAACAAGTTCTCAAGAAAGGGAGCGCGGACCCCACACTGAACGAGGTTGCTTTTGCTGTCAGGCCTGACCATTTTCTGGACTTGGTGTGACGGGAGCTGTCTTATGGTTTCCATGTATGTGTGCCTCCATCCCGCACAAAATGAAATTAATATATATATATATATATATATGTGTGTGTGTGTGTGTGTGTGTGTGTGTGTGTGTGTGTGTGTGTGTGTGTATTAGGGAAGGCAATCTGGAGCGCGCAGGAGTCGGCTGGCGAGCTGAAGGTGAAGTCACGGCAGCACCAGCTGAGACCTCTGAGCCTTCATAAAACAGTTCTGTAAAGAGAAGCTTTTTCTTTGAGAGGAGCCTTTCCGCCAGCCTGGTTCTAGATCCGCATCAGTCCCAAATAAACACACAGGAGGCTATATTAATTATGAAGCTGTTGACCTTGCTTGTCTCTTACTGGCTAGCTCTGCTTTAAGTAATTACCCCATAATTGTTAATCTAAGTATGTCTCTTACCGGAGAATAGTTCTGGGCTCCTACCCCCATGGCGGTTACATGTTGACTCTCTGTGTTTCTCCTTCCCAGAGTCCTCCTGGACTCCTAGTCCCTCCTATCTTGGTTCCCTATAGGCTCAACAGTGCTTTATTGACAAATGCTCAGGACTTCCCCCAACACAGTTCCTATGTGACAGCTGCTCTTTTGCTTATGCTCTGCTCATTAGATAAATCCCTGCTGAGGAAGGACTTCCAGTCTGCCCTGTCAGGCTAAGGTACTCCGTACTGTATAATACAGAGCTCCCCAGACGGTGCATTGCCCCGGGAGACTGTTTTACAAGAGGCTTTTGACTCCGTGCTGCCGCTAGGTAGACCCAGAAAAAGCACCGTTGGACGGGAACTCCCGTCAAGCAAAGACTGCTAACTTACCCCTGTGAACAGAAAGGGAGCCACCCTGTAAGCTGAATGGGGGGAGAATCGGAGCGGTGAAGGCACGTGGAAATATTCCAACTGTATCAGGTAAGCCAGGCCCAGGGACTTACGAGAAACACGACACGGAGAAAAGTGTATGCCTCCCTCCCACGGACCCCACACGGAGACACGTGTATGCCTCCCCCCCATAGACACCTAACCAGTGTGATGGTGTGGCCTCACACAAACCTATCATCTGGTGTGTGTGGCCATGACCAAGCCCCCCACTGTTGATGGAGCCTTCCCCGCTGCCTGAATGCCCAGTTATTCACCCACGTCTGGATCTAATCTGCCGTTTCCGGATCCTGACCCCCTTTTTCTGCTCTGAACCAGGTTTAGTCTTTTCAGCTAGCATCCAGATTCACTCTGTAGGCCAGGCCGGCCTCGAACTCACAGAGATCCACCTGCCTCTGCCTCCCGCGGGCTGGGATTAAAGGCGTGCACCACCGTTGCTGGGGGGGGGACTTCTTACTGGCTTGGTTCCTATGCTCACCCACTTTCTTATAGAACCCACAACACCACCCACCATGTGCTGGTGCCTCTCCCATTGATCACTAAATGAGAAAATGCCTTGCAACTGGATCTCATCAAGGCATTTCCTCAACTGAGACTCCTTCCTCTGATGACTCTGACTCGTGCCAGTACAAAACCAGCCAATACAGCAGGAAACAGCCTTTAAGACCGGGCGTCTCCACAACTTCTTTCATCTCTCCAAGGCGCTTATAGAGAGATGTCACTACAGTGGGATGGTGCACATCTAAGATTCCAGCCCTTGGGAGGCAGAGGCAGAAGGATTGTTGAGTCCACGGTCAGCTAGCCTAAGTAATGTAATGAGAACTTGTCTCTTTTGACGACTTCAGACACTGAGTTCCCATGAGCCAGGCTAGCCATTTCTGTGGGGTTTTCTTTCAATGTCCCTGACCCCCGTGGCTCCTTCTCCCTCTCCTTAGCAGGGTTCTCTGAGCTCTACCCAACGTTTGGCAGTGCGCCTCTGAATCTGCCTCTATCGTCACTGGATGAAGGCTCTCGGAAGACATCCTGGGCCAGTCACCGGTCGGATCACAGGGCATGGTCAGTTCAGGCTTTGCATCCACAGCTGCCAAGAGTTGTAGCTGGGGCCATCCTTGCAGACTCGCTTGGATCAGGCTTCTACCCGACTCTGTAAACAACCAGGGAGCCTGCATGGGATTGACCTAGGCCCTCTGCATACATGTGACAGCTGTGCAGCTTGGTCTATATATGGGACTTCTGGCAATGGAAGCAGGGATGTCCCCAGCACTTTGGCCGACTCTTGAGAACTCATTCCTCATGCCGGAGTGCCTTGTCCAGCCTGAATAAAGGGGGACATGCTTGGTCTCATGGCAGCTTGATATGCCATGCTTTGCTGATTCAGCCCACGGGAGGCTGGCCCCTTTCTGAGTGGATTTGGAGGAGGGGTGGGTTAAGGGGGAAGCCGAGGGGAGGTTGAGGGTAGGAGGAGAGGAGGGAGGGGAAGCTTCTGTCAGGATGTAAGATAAATACGTTGATAATAATGACAACTTCCAGGGCTTGGGACTTGAGAGACATCTGGGAAGATTTAGGGTACCTGTCACTCTTGCAGAGGACCTGAGTCCTGTTCCCAGCACCCAAGTTGGGTGTCCAGCTTCAGGAGGTTCAGTGCTCTCTTCTGAACTTGATGGGCATTGAAAGAAGGTATAAGAATGGAGTCAAGGGAGACGCCTGCGTGCTTGTGCGGAAACTCCAAGAAAACAAGGCGGAGTCTTGTGACCTCAGTTTCTTCAGAATGTGCAACTGTTCTTGGATTGTGTTTTGTGCACCCTCCCAGGTGTAGCAGACAGAAGTGAGCTTGCTTCAGATTGCTGTTATTTGTTTATATGCCTCTATGGAAGAACATGGTTTTTTTTTTTTTTTTTTTGCCCAGTGCAGCTTGCTGACGTGATTGCACACGGTACTCGCGTGACTCTTCTTAGTCCTCAGAGTATAAATTGTCAGATGCAGCTGGGTGGTGGTGGCGCACGCCTTTAATCCCAGCACCCGGGAGGCAGAGGCAGATGGATCTCTGTGAGTTTGAGGCCGGGCTGGACCGACAGCCTCCAAAACAATACAGAGAAACCCTGTCTCATAAAAACCAAAATAAAATAAAATAAAAATAAAAACTAAATTGTCAGATGCCCTGGATAAAATTGGCTATTGCATGAGGCTTTAGTACACCTCATTTATCAGCTCTATTCTCCCAGATGCCACTGTCTCTAGAGTATGGGCACACACACACACACACACACACACACACACACACACGCTTTAAAATAAAACAACTTTAAAAAATCTGGAGGTCTTAAGAGATGGCTCAGCTCTTACGAATGCTTCTTGCTCCTGTAGAGGACTGGGTTTTACACCTGCATGGTACCTCACCCACATCTGTATTGTCAATTCCAGGGATTCAACTCCCCCTTGCAGCTTCCAAAGGCACTGTGCACATGCGCTATACATTCATGTACAGGCAAAACATTAATACACATAACATCGTGTTTTTTTCTAAAATTGAAAGTAGATTTTTTCATAGAGTGTACTCTGATTATAGCTTCTCCTCCCCCAACCCATCCACATCCTCCCTGCTGTCCCACTCATCCAGATCCACACTCTTTCTTTTTCTCTCTCGTTAGAAAGCAAACAGGCATCTAAAAAATAATAAAAACAAACCAGAACAGGACTAAACGAACATTAAAAAAAAGAGATGCAGAGATGCAACGTTGGCATACACAGAAAACCGGTAAAATCAAAACCCAAAAGACTTGTAAGGTAAACAACCAACCAACCAACCAAAGAACGAACACACA